AAACTTATATTAAACTATGAATCAATAAAGTTACGAAAAAGAGCCGCGAGTTAACTCTTAACATCATAATCCAAACCACCTGTATTGATCTCAAAGTAGATATTTTACAGGACTTTTAGGGATGGAACAATGGGAACAAATAATTTATATCTTACAGAAGCCGCCATGTTAACAGACTGCCTAGATGATGTTCGACTAATACTGCGATTTCTGGGCTGATTAAGAAATTCAAAATCTTTGGTAAAACTTTAAATACATTTAAAACTACTCAGTAACACACCCACAGAAAATCAATATTAAATATCCATTATATTGTTTTGATGTGTAAACTACCTGGGTAACAGGTGGGGAAGGATCCACTTCAGTTTGAGTGGGGGCTTCTTCATCTGTTGTGGCTACAGGTTCAGTACCTTGTTCCTGAGGATCCTCCTAAAGTACATGTACATCAAACATTCACATATGTTTATCTTTTTAACAATCACATATATGTTCATTTCACAATTACACATGTTTATTTAACAATTACATAGATTTTTTAACAATCGCCAATATGTTTATAATTTCAATCACTATTAATGTAAGTTTATTAAAGAAAATTAAATACATGCAAGTATCTTTATTTTACAATCTCAAACACTTAATTTACAATCACAAATGATTATCTGCCAATAAAATATTATCTTAACATCTAGCTGACTTGTCCCACATAAATGTTTAATTCACAATCACACATTTATTTCACAATCACACATTTATTTCACAATCTTAATATCTTTCAAATGAAAACTTACTGTTTTTTCTTCCTTCTTTGCCTGTGCTAGAACTGATTCTAACTCACTCAGCCACGCATCCCTAGGAAGTTTGTAAACCTCCAGCCATACCTCAGCTGTTTCTGGATCTGAAGACAGGGAGGATTAATTAAAATATGATTTGAATGCATCTATTAACTTAATTAAATGAGCTTTGAATTAATACTCATTTCTTTCATTTCAGCAAAATTTATAGAATTATAGTAATTTGAGCTTTCATGTATACATGTAAATAAACGAATTTTTACTGGGTAATGAGGATACAAATTCTGTTTATAATCTTTATCAGTATATAACACATGTAAGCTCCAGCTGATGTTGTTCATGATTACAAACTCTAGCTGATAATTATAAAATTAAAAAATATATATTTCTGTTAATTATATTCCATAAGACAATTTCTACATCTCATTTTTCAGGCCTTACATATTTTGCAATTATCAATTTACAACATGTATACTCACTTTCAAATACTGCGCCGAGATAGTCACCATTTCTTGATGCCTCACACTTAGTTATGATCAGCTTTGTTCCACCCTCCTGTGAGAAAACGTACAATAAAATTCATTATACATATTATAATCACTCTACTTTTCCTATATTCAGATGTTTTGTAATTTTATATTAAAAAGAGAAATAGTGTGCATATAGATACATTTTTTTAAGTGAGATGAGCAAGGTGTACATAAAATTAATTTAAAAAAAGATATTATTTCCATGACTGTCACTCTGTATTTAAGCTTCTGCATTTATCAAAGCTTGCATGGCTACTATTGCAAAAGCAGAAAAAAGATATTGCAAATAAAAGGAATAGATGCTTAAGCAAAAGTTGTTCCTGGTACAAGGTTTCTAACTTTGTTGTCTTTTTCTAAGTACAAGAGAAATATTCATTACAATGTGACTATAAATAGCATATTGCATTTTTTAAGTATGGGCACATCTATACTGTGTAATAAATTTTGTAAATATAATCCTGAAAAGCTTCAAGCATATACTGTAGATATGTACAAATTAGTTTTTTTCTGCGAGGTATTAATTTACACTAAGAGAGCAGTTGCAACTTTTCAAGGGAAATTTGTCATAGTGTACTTAAATCATGATAACATAATCTTTTTTAGCATACAGGGTATTTGCTTATTTATTTTTTCACACATGGATTAAACCAAAATTCTAATTCTGCAGAATTATGACCACATGGAAAAAAAGTATGATTACAGTATGTAAATGTTTATACACATATATCACAAGAAGAAAATTTGTGTACAGACTAATGATAATATTTTATTATACATATATCACAATTGGGAAAATACTTCATAAGAATTTACTTCAAGTTCATTTTTAAATATGTACTAGTATACACTATCATTAAATGTTGGAAATATGTATGTAACAAATTTATTGTTGCCAATCAGTAATTTATACATCTTTAAATTTCTTCACATCAAACTTGCAGATTCTATCTAGCTTCTTCTTTACACACATTACTCACTGCATGAGCGGGGTTAGAGAAAATAGGCCTATGTGCCCCGCCTCTACCTCTCTGTCAATATTAATGAAGGAATGCAAAATTGTTAGTTAGAGTAAGTGCTTAAAAGTCAGTTGAGCTTGTCATATAACAGTACTAAACTCATTTCACTACTGTGAGTAAACTTCTGTCTAAATCTACAATAAATTGCAACATGCACTACACACAAAGCCCCCAGATCATAGTCATACATTTACTACACATGCACTACTCATAATAACCCAAAGATCATAGTAATACATGTACTACACATGCACTACACATAATAACCCAAAGATCATAGTAATACATGTACTACACATGCACTTAATTTCCATTTTCAACTGCATTGTACCCAAGTAGGCTCTCATTGAGCATATCTATCTAAACTAAATCTATTACATTTTAACTTTTAAAGCATGCACCCCCCCCCCCCAATAATAAAGCAGTGTTATGTTTTTATCAAAACATTTACAGATATAGGTAAGTGATATGATAAATATTTCTTTTCATAATCATGATAATATGATCTTTTTTGAACTCAGCAACTTCTTTTAACCATTATTCACTGCACATTTTTACAAGTCATGTTAAAAGTTATTATTGACATGAAAAACTATGTTGTTTTCTGACATATCTTTAATTAGTCTTTTTTATTCAAGCCTTTTCTCCTTTCAGCTCTTTTGTTAAGCAGTACTTTTATCTTAATTGTTGATTAGCAAGTTTTGAGTCACAGACATTGCTGGATACCTGTAATTCACTTCCAAAATCATCTGACTATAAGAATGGGTAGAAATTGTAAACAATTGTACATGTATGAGCATCTCTCTCTCCCTCTCTCTCTCAAATGAAATCAAATCAAATCAGGAAATATATATATACTACATGTATCAAATCAAATTCCAGCTAGTTTTTGTATTCAAGAACTCGAATTACAAAGAAACATTTTTTTTTGTACAAAATAATGATGTAGATAAAATATGAAATAAAATTGGTCATAATATAAAAGACAGGATAACTGTTTCAATTCATCATTCTACCTCTGAGTCAAATATTAATTGAACACTTTCTTACCTGAAACTCGTTCAAAATCTTTACGAAGTAAAATTTGTCACCCCCAAATATGAACAATCGTGCAAAACCTGTAATCAAAATAAAATGTGTCAGCAAGTAAAATATATATTTAACATTTTGGTAACTGTAATGTTACTTAATCTATTGATGTTTTTAATGTTCAGGACTAAATTCAAATGTGGTATAAATCTGTTTGTATTACATGTTGCAATTCAAGATTTATTGATAAGATTATGAAACCAACACAATTCTTTACCTTAATAATCAACACATTCTGTCTCAATATTAATGACTTGTATATATACCCATATCATCAATGGTGGTAACTAGATAGACCTGAACACCAATTAAATAAGCCTTCACATAGTGTATATCAACACTCTCTTCCTCCCAAGTGGCTATTCTTTCTTGTGTCAATGAATCCACTGCTGCCAATCCTCGGGGAAGTCCAATGAAAATGTATCGTCCATCAACACTGTCACATATACAGCAGGCCCTTCCATGACTCTGTGGAGGTCAAAGGATCAACTGGTTAAGTGGTTAACACCAGTGAAATTTAAGTATATGAGGTTTTTCTACAAATGAACATTCATTTTTAGCATACTTTTTAAACAATCCTCCTTAATATTACAGTTTTTAAAACAGTTATATAAATATAATTACAGATCAGTACTACTTTACCCATTTTGATTGCAAATAATCATTCCTACAACTAATTCTGATGTCTTAAAAAAAAACAAATTAATATTTTGTGAAGAATTTAAATTTAAGCCTGAATAAATGTATACGTATTTTTTTCATATTAATATATTCACTAGATCTATTTTATATATTCACTAGATCTATTTTAAAATTAAGAAAAAAGTGACAGTTTGAAAAAGAAAATAACATCGGACAAAATCTGTTAAGCTAAATCAAAGATAACAACAAAAATATATGCATTCAACACTGTCAATACACTCAGCAACTGTACAGTAACGTTTAAAACATTGACACCTTCATTTGATTTGAACAGTCATACTGTGGCGGGCGGATTCTGCGGCTCTCCTCTAAACGCTCATTTTCACGCTTCTCTATGATTTCCCATACTTCATCATACCACTGTGTAAGAACCTTGTCTATCATACGATATGGCTGTGGAAGTCTATCGACCAGTTGATCGGGATCTGTGATGTAGTCCTCGTCATCCTCCAAAGGGAACTTGTCGATTGATGGCGGAGTAAAATTAACGTTCTTTCTAATGTAAACAGGCATCTCAGTAATGTAGTGTTATGCAAAAAAAATCTTGATTGTATAGTCACGCTTTTGGTTCCCTTATTCAAGTCATTACAGTTAATTTTTTTCGTTTCTAAGCCACAACAATCTACCGGAAATGAAAACAAAGTTTTAGAATAAGTGGCATTACGAACACGAAGATAATTTCTAAAATGAAAAGATTTTTATCCTTCAAAAAATTTGCCAAAAATATGTATATTCATTGATTTTTATACATTTTAAAATAAATTCCATTTTAGGCGTAATTTATTTTTTTTTAAAGAGAGAAAAATGTCATTTGTTGGAAATCTTATCGGGATCGTTATAAATGAAACACGACACAAATTCTGAACTTTGATCTCAGCCCAAATAATGATTTGACGTTTGTTCTGGAAGTTTTTGAGTATAGTACGTAATTATTATAAGTATGAGCAGTGATATAGTATCAGGGATAATTAAATTTGGTGGCCTGACAAATGGCAGAGACAAATTTTTCAGGTAATAAACGTAAAAAACTACACTACATGGCTAATCCGAATTCTCTCTCTCTCTCTCTCTCTCCATTTCTTAATCACATATTTGCGATCTTTTGTCTATTTTGTGTAGAGATCAAATTATTCTGAATAGTTAAGCTATATTATATAACATGATGTAGAGTAAGCAAGGAATTGTACAGAACTGGAGAAATGATAGATTACGAAATCTCTGTTTTCAGTATATAGTCATGATAATTATTATTTTAATGAAAAAGGTGAAGATAACGAACAGTGATCGAGTTTAAAAAAATCAGGAAAATATAAATATGTGAACAGGGCATAAAACACGAACCCTAATCTCAGCGAGATCCGTAGAGACTAAAAATTTTGGTCTGGTGTCTCTACGTAGAGACACCAGACCAAAATTTTTAGTCTCTACGGATCTTGCTGAGTTTACACGAACCCCAGAAACTGATTAGTGTAATTTAAAAAACCTTAAATACCTATTGTAAGTTAAATTAAAAGTTATAAGTGTTAATTAAATGCAAAAATTATCTGTTGAAATTTTGATTCATACCCAAACTGTTTTTGTGACATTTTCCCCTCAGTCATAAATACTATGTACCACCAAAAGCATGAAGTGCAGGGCAGCATTCATGACCGTTGCAGCGATGTAGCTCTATGTGGAGCTACAATCTTGAATGATGTATGCTAGCCTAGCAGCTATGAAGGGATGACAAGCATTAATTTATACAGTGCTGTTGTATTCAGTAGACCGAGATATCATGGTAAGATGCCAGGATATTGAACACAGCCCCAGTTAAGGTATACTAACATTGTTATATAAAAAATGCAAAGAAATAAAAGAAGATGTGCTTGTGAAAAACTGATACTCCTGTATGGCAGCTCATGGCAAAGGCTAAAGTTTCTCAAATGCAAGTCAAACTTCAAGGTCAAGGACAAAAAATAAAAAATATTGGTACCCAAACAAAGATCTTGTCAGAAGAAGTACACCAGTGAAATATGAAAACCCATAGCACCAACCATTGAAAAGTTATGACCAAAGTTAAGTTTTTCAAAAGTGGGTCAAATATTAAGGTCAAAGGGTCTAAATTCATGGAACTCAAAGAAAGATCTTGTCAGTTGTCACAAGGAATACAACTGTGAAATATGAAAGCCTAAGCACCTACTATTAAAAAATTGGCTAAGTTTAAAAGTTTTTCAAAAGAAGTTCAAACTCAAAGGTCAAGATCAAAGATTCAAAATTGTGGTAGCCAAGGGAAAATTTTGTCACAAGGAATACACCTGTGAAATATGAAAGCCCTAGCTAGTACCAACTTTTCAAAAGTTATGACCAAGGTTTAAATTTTTCCAAAACCAGATCAAACTCAAAGGTCAAGGTCAAAGGGTCAAAATTGTTGGTACCCTAGGAAGGGTCTTGTCACATGGAATACACTTGTGATGTATGGTACCCAAAGAAGGGTACTGTCACAAGAAATATGCATGAAATATGACAGCCATAGCTCCAACCAATCAAAAGTTATGGGCAAGGTTAAAGTTTTTGTGGACAAGCAGACATACAGCAAGACAGATGGACAGACAGAGCAAAAACTATAGACCCCCAAATCTTTGATTACAGGAGCATAAAAAAATCACTGATTGTCACAAGTATTAGACAGTGTAGATTAATGACTCTAAGCTAAGCTTTTTAATTTTATTAATTTGGAATGCATATTATCGAAAGTTAAAAAGAATATATTCAGCTAATTAAAAAAAAGAAGAAAAAATTGATATTATAGTGGGGATTCTTTTATTTTCTTAAAATGGCCTATTGATCAAGAAAACCATATGAGATGTCTAAGCACCATTCAAACCTTTGATTTCAAATTCATATTGGATTTTTGTTATCATTGAAGCATGTTAAGTCAAAGCATTCAATTTTGCAAGTCAGAGACTGAATATATAAATATGTATTAAGTAGGCTATTTGTTATTTGTCAGAGTAAAAAGTTGATAATACAATGCCTTAAAAATTATTGCCATATTAATATTATACAGTCATAACAAATCAACATTTGAGGGAAGTTGAGGTGATATTGATATTTTTCAGGTCAAAATCAAACCATATGAACTGAGGTGATATTGATATTTTTCAGGTCAAAATCAAACCATATTAACAACCTCAGACATCTTTAATTGTTTTATCACATGGTTAAAAATAAAAACAAAACAAAAAAACAAAAAATGATGACTGCATAGCGACAAAATTTTTACTTTTAAACTAATATACAATTGACAAGTTACAACATCGCTCCTTTTTTCACAGTGTAAGGCATCATTTTCCATTACCGTGTTTTGGAAAGCAATCTGGGAATGACTTGCAGATTGTTTTTTCTTCATTTATTATTATTTATTATTAACATTTAACATGTTTTAGCAAAATTTAACCCTCGAACATGCTGAACATAAAACTGAATCCATAGTATCAGAGATCTGTTTTTTTTTGTTTTTTTTTTTTTTTTTTTTTACCTTTATTGGTCAAAGATGGGAAATGCCTAGTCATCTAGCTTTTTATATACACTATATCTACATGTGTATTTGTCTGTAAAGTGTAAACAATTTTTCAAAACACTACTCTTTTACAGTTTTGGTGTGGTTTCATTTAATCTTGTTGCATAATTCTATCAATAAGTTTTACAGTTTTCAATTGAGATACACACTAAATTGTTACCAATTTACCATGGTTACTATTATAAATAGATTTTAGAATATGCTAAATTTCATTAAAATGCCAGTCCTGTTACAAAATGGAGCTGCATGTACAAATCTTATTATATATGACAACTTCTCTTGGAATTGGCTTTCTATGTCAGTATCAGTAAATAAATTCATTTCAATTTTGTCTTACTAGTGCATGTAAACAGAATTTGAATTGAGAGGGCTTTGCATTTATTTTTTCTTTAAAAAAAAACAAAATAATCTAATCAAAAGAACATTATGGATTATTTATGCCTTCTTTGATTAACTTCCATTTAGTCTGAATTTAGTACAGTACAATTTGAAATATTTTACAGATGATGGTTTACAATGTTCTCATAACATTCTCTTATCACCAAGTGAAAAGACGACCTCAATATCCTGTAATGTTACGTATATCCCTAGTTAATGACCTCTGTGTCACAGAATATTCTAGATAGTGACACTAACTGACTAAGTTTACAAATGTTCTGAATATATTTCAGTTTGGATATAATTATATCCAGCTTTTAGATAGACAGTGTAAAAATTAACATTATGATTTTGGCAAAATTTTATTACATGAAATACTTTGCCTGCAAGATTGATTAACATGAGCATGATGAGTATATATATATTATGTTTTTGGCTCTTCTGTCCACGAAATAATCAAGCAATCCTTGGTTCTTTCAAAATTTGACATAGTTAACTTATATATAACAAAATAATCAGGATAATAGTCTGATCATGAACTGAAGCATTCTAGAATTTGTATTTAAAAATCATTAAATGTTTCTTAAAAAAAAAAAATTCAATAAGAAGGATACTGAATGAATTCAAATAAGTTTGCTAAATGCACTTGGGTTGGTCAGGGATCACCAGGTTTGTTCGCCAGTGGTCAGAATTGAAGCTCAGTTGGTACTTTGTAGAACATCTGTGTAAAGTTTGGGGGGCCCAGGATGAAATCCTAGCTGACTATTACACACTTAAATATTACCAAAAAAGTCACAATACAGTATCCTTGTTTATTAACCCAGAAGTAAAATTTTATTTGCTAGATTATTACTTTTATTTGAAATTTTAATAGACTGGTTCAGTATTCAGTAAAGCTGATTTGGTGGAATCTGAGAAACAAAGAAGATGTGGTGGAGAGACTTAAGAAGATCGAATCATCAATGAGCATGACTCGTAAATGTAAGCCAACTAAACTTATTGATCAATTCTACATATTGTCTTGCTTATAAAAAAAAACATACATGTATTACTGGTATATGAGAATTTCACAGTTTAAAAGATGAGAATTTGTGTGTGCTGCAGTGATGTTACGTATAGTCTCCTTCGGTATAATAAAAGAACAATTTGTAAATTGTTACTTACAAGACTGATGTAAACCCATTATTCTATTTTTTTTCAGTGCTGCGTTTGGGAAAGAGTCTGGACTTCATTCAGGCGGCACTGAAATCCCTTCACATCACCGATGATGTCATTCGATGGACAGTGACCTTGTCAAAAATTAGTCAATCCATTTTTCTGTTCTTTGATCATATTATTTATTTCCATAACCTTGGTGTGATAAAAACGGACAAGGCCAAATGGTCCAAAGTTTCTGCTGAGTTTTGGTTCTTTAGTCTTGTTTTGAATTTAGCCCGTAATTTTTATGATATTGCAAATATTGCTAAATTAGAAATGAGCAAGCAAGATAAAAAGGAAAATGAAGTTCAGTACAGCAACGGAGATATGTCCAGCAGGAAAAGCCAAAGTCCTGGTCCTTTGTCGATTGTCCAGAGATGTGTTTGTGACAATAAGCCTGTATTTTTAGACTTGGTGAAGAATGCATCAGACCTTATATTGCCACTAAATACATTAGGAAAAGTTGACGCCAGTGCTGGGGTCCAAGGTTTTCTAGGAATCATTTCCTCTGCCATTGGTGTTGCCACGGTCTGGAACCCTAACCTGAAACTAGTGCCTTGATAATCGTATTTAAAGACAGTAACTGAATATTCCGATATATATATATATAGTTCATATGACTATTGCTCATATACAAACAGTATAGTTAATTTTTTTCATGTGATGAAAGTACAACTATTATTACAGATAACTTAATATAAGTCAGTTTGTATGAACAAAAGAGAAAGTAAGATTTTTCTTTCTGATATTTGTGTATTTTTCTTTGGAATTTGATTCCCCTGATATACAATCAAATGATGCTTCCAATAGACATGTATCTGCAGTTATTTTAACGGATGTCTAATTTTGTGCCTTTTTGTTTTTGTTTTTTTTGTTAAAACAAATGCTATTTAAAATTGTAAGTACACTACAAGTATATATATACTTCATAATATTCATTATATATATATATATATATATATATATATATATATATATATATATATATATATATATATATATATATATATATATATATATATATATATATATATATATATATATATATATATATGAATTTTCAGAAATCTTCCTTAAGATCTCATTGCTTAGTCTCTTCAGACAATGTCCCAGTGTTTATGAACTGTTAGTGTATTGTTCTTTGCCTTGAATATACCATTATATATTGTTTCACTTACTGATTTTACAGTGACTTCTGAGGATGACTTTTATACAAATATATAGGTCTATTTTGTTTGATTATTTTTTAATTTATTGAACTCGTTCATCACATGCTTTTTTTTTACAGTGAAAAGCTGTCAGTTATTAAATTTTGTAACCAATTATTTATTGCCAAACATTAATTAAAAAATTTTATTTAATTTTTCTCTTAGTTTATGTTTTGAGGAAGTATTTTCAGTTATGACACTGAATATGTGTCAAGTCTTCATGTGAAGTCTTTTTATTTGGTGTTAAAAATAGGGATTGAAATAATCAATAATTTTAATTTAAGAACACCATGTTGCAATGCAAAAATTGATTCACTTTTTCCACATACATGTAATTTATAAATTATCTAAGATATACCAATGGTGAAGTCCGTTCTTTTGACTCTTGCCATTTGAACCAAAAAAAAAATGTTTCAATGACCTTGGCCTTTGATCTGCAAGTCTTTGAAAATTTATACTATTAACCCTAAACGTTTATGATGTTACATGTAAGTATGCTAATAGTGTGGATAATTCTTTATTTGATTTAAAAACTTCCATCAAGAACTAAAGCCCAATAAAGCAAGGTTTTACATAAGGAACTTGACCTAGGACCATAGAATTAATCAATACAAATGTTTTTGTTTACGGTAATTTAAATACTATTTCTGATGTGTTATTTTGATGTATTATTCTGAAAGAAGATAATGGAAGCAAGCTGGCAACTTTTCCGAAATAACACCTCTATATTAAGATTTTTGAAATTCATTACATCCCTTAAATTCTCACTTTTAGCTCCAATGAGCAAAGACCAGAAAAGCTTTTGCATTGGTATGGTGCCTATTGTCCGTGTGTCTTTTTTCCTGTAACCAAAAGTCCTACTCCTTCTACTTTTGGTTTCAGTAACATTTGGTACATAGACTACAATAAGATGCATGATAATGTGTATCAGTTTTCCATTTCGACGATTTTGTTGCCATGGTGACATAAAAATAGAATTATTTGTGAAATTCTTTCAAACGCTACTCCTACAGTTTTGTGTCCGATTTCATTGAAAAAAAATCAGACTACGCAAGGATACATTTAGTTTAAAAGGTTTTATACTGGAAAAATTCAAATACTTGTAGAAGATTCTCTCCAAACATTGTTTGGGTTTTGATTTTAATAAAAAATACATCAAAATACAAAATTTTGTAATGTAAATTAATGTCAAGTCCAGGTGCAACTTTTTGGCAGTACTATCATAAGTAAACCAGTAGAGTTAAATTCTGATCAGAGACTTAGTTTGAAGTAGAAAAAATACCAAATTTTAAAAGGAAGATCTCTTTTGTAAAAGAAATTTTTTAAAAAAAATTTCCGTAGTACCTTGACCTTGAAAATACTGAAGTTCCCTTGACGTATACAGACATGTAGGGGCTTGTTTTCCGGATTGTTAAATGTAAAATGAATCAATAAAATTTTGAATCTACTTTAGATACACTTAAAAGTTGTTACAATAAGATTCTGACACTTTCAGACAAGAAATACCATGTTTAAAAAAAAGTACCACACCTATATACATAAGTAGAGTTTATGTATATACCGGTAGGTTTGGTATGTTTTTTAGCTCACCTGAGCTTTTCTGATCACATTTTGTCTGTAGTCCATCTGTCTGTCTGTCTGTCCGTCCGTCTGTAAACTTTTCACATTTTCGACTTCTTCTCCAGAACCACTGGGGCAATTTCAACCAAACTTGCCACAAAGCATCCTTGGGTGACGGGGATTCAAATTTGTTCAAATGAAGGGCCACGCCCTCTTCCAAGGGGAGATAATTAAGAATTGGTGAAAATTTGGTGTCATCTTTTAAAAATCTTCTTCTCAAGAACCATTGAGCCAGAAAAGTTTATACATAAGTGAAACCTTCATTACATAGTGTAGATTCAAATTTGTTCAAATCATGACCCCCGGGGGTAGGGTGGGGCCACAATGGGGGATCAAAGTTTTACATAGGAATATATAGGGAAAATCTTTAAAAATCTTCTTCTCAAGAACAAAAAAGGCACAATTAGTCATATTGATATGGAATCATCCTCAGGTAGTGTAGATTCAAGTTTGTTCAAATCATGACCCCCGGGGGTAGGGTGGGGCCACAATGGGGGATCAAAGTTCTACATAGGAATATATATGGAAAATCTTTAAAAATCTTCTTCTAAAGAACAACAAAGCCACAATTAGTCTTATTGATATGGAATCATCTTCAAGTAGTGTAGATTTAAATTTGTTCAAATCATGATCCCCGGGGGTAGGGTGGGGCTACAATGGGGGATCAGATTCTTACATAGGAATATATAGGAATATTCTTTAAAAAATCTTCTTCTCAAGAACAACAAAGCCACAGTTAGTCATATTGATATGGAATCATCCCCAAATATTGTAGATTCAAGCTTGTTCAAGGCATCCTCCAGAAGTAGGGTGGGGCCATAATGGGGGATCAAAGTTTTACAAAAGAACTTAAACAGGAAATATCTTTAAAAATCTTCTTCAATCTCAAGAACAACAAAGCCATGATCAGTCATATTGATACGGAAGCATCCTCAGGTAGTGTACATTCAAGTTTGTTCAAATCATGAACACCCCCCCCCCCCAGGGTAGGGTGTTAGACGTATTTAAAATTCTGTTTTAAAGAACAGCAAAATCATGATTAGTTATATGAAGATAGAAGCATCCTCGGAAGGTTTATATTCAATTTCATTCAAAACATGGCACCTTGGGGTAGGGTATGCCTAGAACAGGCAATCAAAGCTTTATACATGAATATATAGGAGAAATATAGAGAAGAAATCTGCTGACGAAGAACAGCAGGGCCATATTGACTCAGGTGAGCGTTGTGGCCCATGGGCCTCTTGTTTTTTATTAACATGGATTTTTATAAGGTTGAATATTAGCATGTCTTTGGAGGAGACAAAAAGCCATATTTTTGAAATGTGCCTGTGTTTTTGGAGAAAAAGACTCATCTTTCCTGTGTGAATTTTAAAGGCGTATTCCACCTGGAATATGGGTGGAATCTAGCAGGAATTGGGAAATTCCGGGCGTACTTGAGGCGGAGACGGAGTTTTTGAATAGTTACGCCTGAGTAGAAGAGGCGTCTTCCATGCGTCATTTCTACTTTCCGGGCGTCATCTTGTAAGTTAAGATTGTCCTGGCGTAAAATGGCAGGAAAATAGAAACAAAAATTACGCCTGGAACTTTCAGGAGGAGTAAAAGCCTTGATTGGTCAATTTAAATATCAATTGAAGGTCATTTCAGATAGGAGGTTAAGTTTGAATTTATCAGGAAGGAGGTAGTTTAGTGTGAGTGCAATAGGAAATATAGATATATCAATGTTAAGGCTTTTACACTTGTTCTGGATGACACAGTATCTGCTGGTAGGTGTGATAATTAATATCTGGTACCTATTTCAGTAAATCCTTTGACAATTATTATTTACAATGATAGTTATAACTTAATGACTCTTTACTATAGATATTTTGAGTTTCCTTGCAAACCTTCTGAGAAATAACATAGTCTGATAGAGCTCTCGAACTGTTAAGTATTGAGTAAATGAAGAACTGCATGTAGTAACTTGTTTCAGTGTCATGATTATTGAAGGGAAAAAAGGTATTTTAAAAAGTTCATTGAATTCTTAAACATTATTTTACACTCATGGTGGTGTTCTCAGTGTCCCTTACACAAAAAATTGAAACAGCTTTTATAAATTATATTTCTATACTATGTTAATGACCTGTTATTATGTTTTTTTACAGTTCAAAAGGCTAAATTTTTAACTTTAACATTGTAAATCATAACCTAAATGTTTTTCTTGGTTATATAGGTTTTTAGGTCACATAGTATTATATAATAATAAGGACTTTCCAGGCGTAATTCTGCTTCAGGCGTCATTTTAGTTTCCAGGCGTAAATTTTTTCCGGGCGTCATTTATTTTTCCGGGCGTAGCTCATTTGCATTTTTCGCCTCAAATTCCTATATAATTCCTCTTGGTTTCCTCTTGGGTTACGCCCGGAACCTGTATATCACCATATATGTATTGAGACAAACTGACGCCCGGAATCCCTTCTCCAAGTATGCCTCTATTCCCCCTATATTCCAGGTGGAACATTTCGTACAGGTTATTTAGTAAAACCATTAAGATCATTATATGCAAACTTGAAATACGCAGATATGCAAAAAATATATTCTCAGACTACGTAAGCATCTGGTAATGTTGAAAAGCAATATTTCCTTTTTCATCAGAATGTTCGAATGTAACTGTGAGGTTGAAATTCAAAACTTGAAGTTGAAAAAATGAGCAGAGTATACGTATAGGGTATAGGATAAAAGAGTGAGACGAAATGTCTAATATCATGATCATATTTCTCATTAATGAAGTGCTATATTTCTTAAAATTTTATTTCAAAGAGTGGAAAATGGGGAATAATCATTTTATTTCATGAAGATGTATGAAGATACTTTGTTTAAGTAATGTATAAATTTTTCTCCTGGTGATTTTCATTTTTCT